CAGTCTCCCTGACGGTGACCCGGCTGCCGAGCTGTCCCAGTGTCCCCTCCCCGCCTGCACAGGGCTAGTGCTGTGCATTTTCTTTGCAAACCCTCCCCATAATGGCTGATGGTCTGCAACAACTAGGAACGCGTCATCACGCTGTCCCCTGCCACCTACGGGCACCTCCAGGGGCATGTGGTGCTGAGTGTCCGTGGGTCAGGGGTCCCCTCAGTCTAGGAGGAGACTGCCCACCTAACTACAAATTTGTCAGCGGTCACTGCTGGCTTTTCAGGATAGAAAAGGCTCATTCTCTCTTGTGGCCGCTCCACGGGGCTCGTCCGTCCTAGAGTTGGGAGTGAGCCCTTGTCCCCAGCAGGAAACCAAGAATGTCCTCCTCAGCCCCCGTCCACGATCACTCTTTTTGTCCCATCTTGCTTTGGGAAATGCCCCAGACAGCTCGACAGAGTCTGTTGACTTTTGGAATCCCAGCATCAGAGAAACTTAGGAGATTGGTTTATTTTATAGATGAGGAAGCCGAGACCGGGAAAGGTCAATACTTAGTGAATTAAGATTAGATTGAATCTCGCCCTTTGCATTAGGAGAGGCTGACATATTTCTCATACCTTTTTGACAAGTTAGACAAGTTTGACTTGTCTGCAGTGGTTCTTTATTTTAATAATTTTTTGCAAAGCAATTTTTTGATGGTTAAAAACCCTAGCGCTTTATTGAACCTGGGCCTGCTCTGCTGAAGCGGGCGGCATAAATACCGCAGGCATGCTGCCCGCCTCTGCCGCGGCCGAGCTGCCTCTGGTCTGGGGCCGATGGCAGATACCTTCGTGTCTTCATGTTTCTGGGACTCTAAGAGATCCAGACTCATGATGGAGAAGTGACAGGCTGAGGGGCGGGCAGGACGTGGGCAGCACCTCTGCTCTTTTAGGGACGGGAGGCTGGTGAAAAGTGTCCAAAGCTACGTCTTACCGAGAGAAGGAGCATGGTTTTTTGTCTCACTTTTTTCAAGGGGTAAGTTATTGCCACTGTTCACCTTGTCCCGTGCTTCCCTCTGCGCGTCCTCCCCAGTTCCTGTGCATTTTGAGGGGAGAAGCTCACTGCTCCCCACAAACAGCCGGGGTTGTGCTGGGTCCCACACGGGCAGTGAACACACACTTGTCAGTTGATGGACGTGGGGGTTTCAGCCTGGACCCGTTTGCCCCTTGCAGACGTCCAGGCACTTCCCAGTCCTCCTAGCCACTCAGCCATGCCAGGAGGACAATCAAACCGGCTACTTGAGAGCAGTTTGAGCCGCAGAGCTGGGCTTGGTCAGTAGATGGATCGCACTGGGAGATATTCCCACCCTGCCTCCCTCGGAGCCTGAAATGTCCCCTGTGTGCCCCTACGTACCTTAGTGCCCAGAGTCAACTTGTTGACTTACTTCCACAATGACTTCTCCTGGACACTCAGGACTACTTGTGACAATATCATCAGTGTTTGTGGAGAGTCCCAAAGCAAAAGCACTTAAGCCTGTCAGAGTGGACCCCAGAAGTGGCCCGCAGAGCGCCATAGAAAAAGCATGTCCACGGTGGGATGGCTGCGACGCAGACCCGATGACCCGTGAGGGAGCCCAGGGTCCGCGTCTCCGCACACACGCCAAGGTGGCTGAGACCCAGGGACGGTGAGAAAGTGCCGGCTTTGAGGAGATGGTTCAGGGCGGGTCGCAGACCTGTGGGGGATTCGGGGGGAATGCGTGTGACCCACTCACCCAACTATCTTCTCAAAGAAGCAGCCACGATGGAAAATGCAAAGGCATGGATCTCAGAAGCCGCATTGGAAGAGGAGACTCACAAAGACCGGCTGTTCTCAGTAAAAGAAACAGGTTAACGATTTCTGAGCTGCGGAGGGGACGCACGCACGTGCTCCCATCAGAGGACAGCATGGCCGGCACGCGGCCTCGCTGGCTGTCGTCCTTATGCCTGTCTACGATGCGGGTTACTTACTGCGTGTCCAAGAAGACATGGCGAGCCATTGTAAGGACCGCTCTGTCTGCGTGGAGCCGCCGGCCGACACAGGGCAGGTGCCCGGGGCCAGGACACCACCCCGCTCTCCGCTGGCACGACCCGTGCAGACTCGGAGGCAGTCCGCAGTGAACGGAGGAAGAAGCCACCCGCGCAGTTCCCGCCACAGAACCGGGCTCAGTCCTGTCACAAAGCGCATGGACTCTGGGCTCACAACCAAAACGTGTGACTCCTTCGAAGTTCTAGCTTTGCTGCCCTTCTCCTTGGGCCTGCGTGGGGCTCGGTCTCTGCGGGAGGGGAGGAGAGCGGGTTCAGGGTTCTTTTCTTCTCTGGCCCCCCTCACTCAGCAGGGGGTGAGGGCCGCAGGTCCCGCTGGCCATTCTGGGGCGCTCCCTCCGGGCTGGGCTCCTGGGACTCACTGGAGTTCCCCGCAGCCGGCCCTTCCTTTCTCACGGGAGCTGCTCGGGTGGCTATCTCCTCCGTGGCCCCCACACAGGCTCACGAGCTTCTCTGTCATGTCCGACCCCCTGGGCGCTGCAGGCGGGAAGAGCTGGGGCTCCAGAACGGGGCCACGGGGTAAGCGGTGCCCCGGTTTCCTCCTGGCTGGTGGTGGCCGCGTCGAGGGCCCTGGGCTGAGGTCGACATGGAGCTCCCTTGTCACCTGGCTACAAACCCTGTCAGATGACGGGATGGGACAGAGTACCCGGAAAACCTGCTGATTGAACCGAGTCCCCCCACTTGCTCTATGACTTGTGACACCGGAAGAGGAAGGCACCAGGGCTGAGGGTCACTCGGTGTCCCCCCGTCAGACAGTCTCTGAAGGGCAGCGTGGGCAGCCGCGGAGGGAGTGTGGCCAGGAGGGCTGGACGTTGGTGCTGGCGAGCCGAGACGGAGTGTCCTCACCTACACATGAGACGTGGAGGGAAGTGGCCGTGGGATCTCAGAATGAAACTCCACCCTCCCGAGACGCCGGCTAACTGGGTCCCGTTGCCGTTTCGCCTCCGTTTTTTTCTAGCGGTGGCTCAGCTTTTAGGACGTTTTGCTTGCGTCACACAGCAGATGACCCTTTACTACGTCACTGCCCACCTATCACGCCTTGCTCGGATGCAGACGCAGGGACCTGCTAACCCCGTTTTGCGGACACACATAGGGGTGAGGACAGGCCTGGCCTGCGCGGGACCCGCCAAGGTCTGGGTGTGCAGGCTCCTTCTGCCCTTTACGTCTGGACAGGAAACGAGCTTCGGTAAGTCGTTCTTACAGAGTTCTGGAAACGTGAATGCTGTGTCGTGCTGTGGCCGTGACCACGAGTGATAACAGACCGTTTCCTCTGCCCTTGAGGTTAGAATGTGGTTTGGTGACTCAGCTTTGCTTAGACAGTTCTCTTCCTCACGGCTCATCTTGAGACAGACCCGTACTTGGCATTGCCAGGCCCCACGGCGTGGGTGTCGGTGGCGATCCCAGCGGCCCCGGAGCCCAGCGGCAGGGCTGCCTCTATGTGAAGTCTGAGCTAAGGGCCCCTTGAACAGCCCGGACCAGCCAGCTGGCCTCCACGCGGAGCCCGCAGGCTCTTCAGAGTGACAGCGAGTGGACCACAAGCCTTCCTGTGGTCCTGTGAGCCCCTGTCCGTCCATCCACCTGCTTGACGGACAGAAGGGAGCTGTCGGCTCTGTGTGCTTCTGCCTTGTGCAGACACCACGCTTCTGTGGGGACCGGACAGTTGGTCCAAGTCCAGAGCTGTCCCCTTGGCGCTGCGCTGCCTCTGAAGTACGGCTGTCAGTGGAGTGTCCCCAGACTGAGGCGAGTCCCCACTGCGGGCTGTGGGTCGGGCTGTGCAGCCACAGGGTTCCAGGTGCAGATGCCCACCGGGCTTGATGGCTGGACCCCAGGTGGGACCCCAGCTTGCGGGGCCCCTTCCTGCAAACCTCCTTCCCAGAGTGGGGCAGGTGAAGCCATCACTGGGTACAGGAGGGTCAGATGGAGGTGAGGTGGGCACCTGTGGCCCCGTCAACACCACCGTCCCTCAAGTGCAGATGCCTGGGCTTGAATTAGGCTTGACTCACCGTTCCTGTCACTCCCTATGTATGTGTGTGTGTGCATGCGTACACACACTTGTGTGTGTACGCATGAACACACACATGCACACACATGTGCGCACACACATGTGCGCGCACTCATGCACACACATATGTACACACATGCACACATACATGCACATGCACACATATGTACACACACACACACACTCATGCACACACGTGTACAACGATGCTCACTGTCCTCCTGTCCTCCCTTCAGCCGGGCAGGATCTACCAGGACCTTCCTGAGCAGGACAGACAGTAGCTCCAGGTCGAGGGGTCCTGACCTTCGAGCTAAGGGGAGAGACGCCTCCCGGGCTTCCTCGGTGATTGCGTGTGTTAGGCTGGTGTGAGGCTGAATGGTTTGGGTTTTCTTTCTACTCCTCGGTGTTGACAGCGGTTAATCTGCCGTGGCAACTGTGTACCACTTGCAGATGTCTGAGAACAAGATGACATGTAAACTTCCTTTTCATAGTCAGAGTCCACGGGCTGACCCTTCCCCGCCCGAGTCCCTAAGGCCGTGGGGGCCGACCTCACATGCCCATGTCAGTGGCGAGCACACAGACGCAGGGCCCGGGTGGCCACCAGCCGTGGAAGCCTACGAAAGCCTGGCTCTGCTGTCCCATGCTGGCCCCTGTCCTTGCCAGGGAGGCTGTGTCCCCTCAACCCATAGCCACCGTGGCCGGGTGCAGGAGGCTTGGCTAACGGCGTGTGGCTGGTGCTGCGTGCAGGCGCAGGTGGAGTGGCCGGGGGAGTGCGTGTCATTGGAGGGACTCGTCACGAGGCTACAGCCCGGGGGACGTGCCAGCAGACCGTCCTGTGGAGGCACAGTGTTTGCCAATTGAGTTTTCAAGGCCACATTTTGCCCTTTAGCTTTTCCAAAGTGACGTGACAGATGCAATGCTAATTCATGACGATGGCTTTGCTCCCACAGAAAGAAGCCGGGAGCGAGGCCCAGCGCCCTGCGCCCCCGCCCTGGTGCTGCGTGCGGAGGGGAAGAGCATGGCCGGGGAACAAGGAGACAAGGTCAGTGTTGGCGGAGCCGGGGTCGGGAGGACCGGCCGGCCCACCCTCATACCCGTCCCCACTCGGCTCTGCAGTGAGGCTCAGCCAGCTCGCTGTGTGACAGTCAAACCCTGAAATTCCTGAGGTCGCCTGGAAGAAAGGCTAAGGGACCTGGGAGCTGTGATGGGAGCGGCCGCCTCCCCTCCTGACCGTGGCCCAGAGCTGGGAGGGGCGTGGGTGTGACCCTGGCTCCCGGGGGTACTCGTCCCCACATTTCAGGAGGGGACCATGGCCGCAGGGTGGCCGGGCTGCAGGCAGACGCCACTCAGACAAGGCCGCGGTCCTGTTTGGCGTTCACTGGTAAAGAAAAGCCAACGCACGTTAGTTTTAAGGACTGACCATGACGCCTTTGGCGAGTTTGCCTTCCCCTGAATAACCCGGGAGGTTTACTTTTATGACTACATTTGAAAATCGCAAATGGCACTTAATTTGCCCACAACTGTCACACACACTGGAGGCCTCTGGTTGGAGCAGTGTTTTGTTAGCTCGCTCTCTCACTTGACTTGTCAGCTCTCGGCACAGGCTCCACAACACCCCTGTCCCCCCTGCTGGCTTTTGTGCCAGTTCCCTGATGCCGATGTTCCCGGCACCATGGCTGGTGCCACGACCGCTGCCCCGTCGTGGGTCCCGGTGTTAATGGTGTAAACTGATCAGGAATGTTGGCACAAATTAAACGTTTGCTCCCTGAGATAGGACTCCTCTGTGGGAGACCAGCGTCCGTGCCAGAATTACATATTTCTTAATCAGATCGTCTTTCTTGGGCCTTAACGACTTTCTTTATCACTTCGCTCTGCACGTCTAATTCACTTTTATTACCGTAGCGTGGAAGGAGAACTTTATGCCATGATTAGCCATTTTTGTCACCAACAGGAAGTCATCACCCTCGAACGCCTCGCGGAGACGGCCTCGGTAATTAGCAGCACAAAGTCCCAGCGTGGCCAAATTTAAGTGTTCGTCCCATCACAAATCACCTCCTGCCATATTTCCTTGAGTAATTAGCGGGGTAATCTAGTACTCGGGGGCCCCTCGCTGGGTTGCTACTGTTCAGTTTGCTTCATAATGAAAATCTCCCCTCGTTTTTCTAATTGGATTAGTAATATAAACCCTGCTATTCATGAATTTTTTAACACAACTCTCTCTCAGTACTCCCTGTTATGTTCTTCCTGACCTTATTTTATCACAGGAAACAAAGACATTTGCTACTACCCAAAAATTCTAAAGAAAACTGCCCTTAAACTCATGAACTTAGGCATAATTCTATAAATTAAAAGTCATTTATTCAGTGTAATCATCTGTGACAGTGAAGGAAGGACCGGCCATGGGGAGACCCCAGTACAACCCTGGACGGACACGCGTGGATGGGGACCCCGCATTTCCGGCGTGGTTTGTCTGTCGGTTTCCGGTTTGCCCGGAGACCGTGCAGGAACTTGCCCGGGTACATGTTGTCATGCAGGGCTTGGCGGCGCTGCCAGCACTGGCTGTTCACGGCGGGTAACATGAGCCCCCTCGGCCCTCATCTCATGGCTGGGCGGCGCCAACAGGCGTCAGCTTTCCTCTTTTGTCAGCTGTTTGACCAGAGCCCCCGTTGACGTGCTCGAGATTAAGCTCATGTGGGCTTCTTTTACAGTTTTGTTTGAATTTTGTTTCAGTGCTCCTGTCCCCTGGCCCTTCCTTTCTAACTACTGTGCGTGTAAGGAGTCCAAGATGACGGAAATGAGCCCTGGGGCCCCTTGAACAAATGGGGTGGGCTTTCGGTGCCATTGCTGTGCCCTGGGGTGGCTGGCCCTGCATGGGTGCCCGTGTCCGGGGCTGGGTGCGTTGAGTCCACTCACCATTGAGCGTTCGAACACATGGTTTATCTCCTCACCTACACTGTCTCATTAGTGATGGTAGAAACAGATCCTAAAACTGCAGGGTGACATTCTTTTTTTAATGAATCTAGAGCTTTAATGTCACCTGCCACTCTCAGCACAGAGCCAGCTGTTGCTTTGGATAATGTGCTGGTATCTTTTAATCTCACCTGCTTTTTGGAGAGAAAGAGAACACAGCCTTTATCGTGTTATTCTGAGATTAAAACCATAGAAATGGGCGGGAGAAGATGGAGGAGCCGTCCCACCAGAGCAGGCTGTGCTCCCTGGGGTTTCATTTCCGTCTCATCATGGCTCCAATCGAGATGACACGCTTCTCCTGAGCGCCCTGTGGCCCCTTTGCCGTCGCGCCACGAGTTCTGCTTCTCTCGTTTAACCGCTGTCTGTCGCATCCACACGGCTAATGCGGATCTTGGGTCCATGTTTGCGTCCGAGTCATAATAGTCCATGTTTTCTAATCAAAACCAACTTGTGTTTCTCTCCCAATTCTATCCATAATGAACAGTGATATCGAGTGTCCCAGCCGTATTTGTCTCCTTTCTAGTTGCAGGGAATAAATCTTCATTTTCCTCAGGTGATACAATGTTAAGTGTCCTTTGCGCTCTAAATGGAGGCAGACACAGAGTGGTTTTCCAACCCAACTGTGCGTCAGGATGACCCCACGATGTCACTGTCCCCTGAGCTCTGCCCGCAGCTACGTGCTGGAGGAAGGACACAGTTATGAAGCCACCAGACTCACAGGGACATGGGCTTGTCCCTTCCTCCTGCCTCCGTGGGGCAGGGATGGGCCCTCCAGCTGCACCCAGGGGCCCCCGCAGTCTTGAGCCTCCCCGCTGCCATGAAGCGCAGGGTTTTGGTGGCACGGTGACTCCAGCCGTTGAGTCAGCCTGTTTCCGGAGGTGAATCCAGTGGGATTGTCTGTATCTACGACGTTCACAGGCTGCCCGGGCCCATCGCGTGTCTGCAAAAGCAGACAGTTAGCCCACCCGGGATAATTAAGGGGCTGCCTTCATTGCACTTCTTCAGCACAGTCTGTTGTGCCATGAATTCCATATTCTCAGCATAATTGCCTGGTCCCTTTTGCTTTGCTGCACTGAGCAGGTCATTATCTAGTGGCTTTTGTAGGCAGGTCTGTCTGCAGGAGTCCCGTTATCCCTTCCTTGTTTGCCTGTAATTGAAGATGAGTGTTTTAAACAAAAACACAAAAAGCACCATTCTCTTTCTGTTGAAAGGAACCTCCATCAATCCTGGTGACAGCAGAGGACAGCGCAGCAAAAGGCAGCCGACCGGTGGCCTCTACCCCTGTGCCCGGGTCCCCCTGGTAAGATGCCCTGACGCCTGAGAGCAGTGAGACACAGCCCTGCCTTGTCCCAGGGTTTGCTTGTTGTCACCAAGGGGAAGGCACGCTCCTTAGGAAACACTGTGGTCTCAAAAATTAATTTGCAATGCATGGAAGGTATAGGTGTAGACTTGTCACTTCTGCAGAAAGGAAAATAGCATTTTAGTAATAAGTTATTCTGCCGTATTTGCAAATGTACGTTAAAGTAATAACACTGATGCAGACACAGCAGTGAAACAGCGCCTGACGAAATGTGACAAGCCTCAAGCCCAAAGGGCCTCCCTCTTCTCCGGTGAAGGCGGGGTGGCCGCCGCTAAGTGACCGTGTGCTTGCTGTCCCCAGCCGCCCTGGGGACTCATCTTTGAGCTCCCCACACTCAAAGTACCCTCCGCGAGGGAACGCCGTCTCTGGTTTTTTAAACTGTCCTTTTATAAACAAGTAATTTGGAAGCAAAATGAAAAGGTTATTATAGTACAAATTAGTTTTAACACCACAGATTAGCACGCAGGATGCAGCTGGCAGGAGCAGCTCGTTTAGAGAACAGAGATGAAAAGCGGCGGCGAGCATGTAATGTGCCGTGTGGCGTCAGCCTGGCGTAGTGTCCCTGGTGACAGCAGTGCTAGCGGTGCAGGTGGGGCGTCTCCCTGCCCCGGCCCTACCCCATGCGCTGCTCACTGCCGTGGCCCTGCGGTCCTCTGGAGAGGTGCCTGTCCCTTCTCCGCCCAGTCCATCTCCCGCCCTGCACTCTTACAGGGACAGTGTACCTACTGCAGCCAGTTCCTGGGTTTTCCCAGCACATCTGAGTGTCCCACCATCCAATTCAGTCCCGACAGGACTCCTGAGCGAACCCAGACCCCGCAGGTGAAGGGCTCAGTCACACAGATGCCCCCACTAGAGGCCCAGCCGCACAGGGCGTCCCTGGGTTCCTGCCTGGCTGACTGCAAACCTGGGGTTCCCCCAAGTTCTCCTCAGGTGCGAAGATTTGTTGAATGACTCACAGAGTTCAGGAAAGTGCTGACTTCTGGCTACAGTTTTATCGTAAAAGACAACGTTGAGGCACAACAGTGCAGCCCATGGGCGGGGAGAGCTGCCCACCCAGGGCCACCGCCCTCCCGCCAGCCAGGAGGGCGTCTGAGCCCCACTGTTCAGGGGTCCTTATGGCCTGCTCCTTCCACAGACAGGGAGGGAGCTGGGGGAGGAGGGGTCTGGCCGAATGATGAGGGGTCTCCAGGCCCCTCCCATGGGTGGGGGTGGGCTGAGGGTCCAGGCCTCTCCTCCATGCAGAGACCCCTCCACCAAGAGTCACCTCATTAGCATGGACTCAAGCCGCCCAAGGGGCTTGTTGCTTACGGCAGACTCCCCTCTCAGCAGATCCCAAGGGTGTTTGGGGCTTGATGCCCGACCTGGGGACAAAGACCAATATTTCTGTTTTATCATGTGCAAACGCTGTTTGGGTCATCTGTAACCCACTTTTCAACGTCGTGTTTGTGGGGGTCGAGATAACTCCAGCACAGGCCTGTTGCCTGTCACAGTGTGTCCCAGTGCTGCCCTTGGGAAAGAGAATTCAGTGGAAGACATGACCTTGAGCTCTAGAACCTTCTAACTGTGGAAGCTGCAGCTTTTCCTCCTCAGTAAGACCCTGTCACAATGTGGAATGCTGAGTGGGACCCTGGAAAGGACACTCTCCTCGGCTGTCACCATCCTCGGCTGTTGCCGCTGTTGCTCCCCCTCACTGTGGGTCCTTTGCTTGTAAATTGTTAATCAGCACGCCACCTTCCCAGGCTTCTGGCCGAGTGACAACTGTGCAGTGGACGTGCTCTCTGGCCGGCCCTCTGTCCCCAGCAGGAAGGGGACGGGAAGCCATTCGGGAGAGCCGGCTGCAGGAGGACAGCAGTGCCACGTGCCCGGGGCAGCCCCAGCCATGGGTGTACCTGTGACTCAGGACTGGGCCTGCTGGCTGGAACTGCACTCTGTCCCCAAGGTGATGGAGACGCTGCCAACACCCCCCTGTGTTCTCAAAACTGGCGAAGGGACCCTTGACCTTGCAGGGTGAAGGGACAGCTCCAGACCCCGGCTTCTCTGATGAAGTAGGTTCCCGGTTGAGCAGTGACTGTGTGGCCTGGTCTGATACCCCCTCGTCCTGGCATCGCACACACGGCAACCATCGTAACAACACACTGTGCTGACACCGCAACCTGCCACCGGGCGCTGTGCTTGTTTTGCTCAGTTATCTCACATCACCCACTGCCAACCCCCCTCCTTGGGTTTTGCTAGAAGTAGTCAGCCCAGGTCCTCAGGGAGATGAGGGCAGGGCGACCACGGAGGGCCAGGCTCCACCATTATCTGTCGTCCTCCACGTTAGGACCCTGGGGTCGCCATGGCGTGGTCGGGACAGCCTCACCCAGATGGAGTGTCCCGGGGGCAGCGGCCACCTCTAGCTCTCTGACAAGCAGGGCGCACAGTGAGGGGGTCCGTGTGGAAGTGGGGTGGGAAGAGTGCTGGGCAGTGCCCGGGCTCTAAGAGATGACCGCTGGACACCAGCACATCCTGCAGGCGCTGTCAGCTGCAACAGTGACCAGAGGGCCGCGCAGAGTCCCCGAGGAGTAGCCACTGAGTGGGTCTCCACCTCCCAGAGCTCCGGCCCGCATCCGGCTTCTCCCTCCACGTTGGTCCCTTTTTACTCAACCTGTTCCCGTTGCTGCCTCGGGGAGCCGTCCCCCTGAGGGAAGCCGGCTCAGGTCTGATTCCACAATTAGACGCTTTACCTACAGAGCTGTGGCCTTAACCTCACACCAACACTGCCCTAAGGAAACGTAGGCTTTCTAGAGGCTTTGGGCTGAGCAGGCTGGGGGTGTGGGCTCAGAAAGTGTTCCTCCCTACTGTCACAGAGCTGGGTGGCACAGCTGGGGTCACAACAATAAGGGAGGAGTTTTGGAACCTGCTTTGTTCTAACCGAGCATTGTCACTCGGCCAATGTTCTCGTTGTGGCTCCGTGTTCAGTAAGCTGGGCTGAGACGGAATGTTTGCAGGGCAGTGGGTGGACTTGACCTAACGTGGCACGCATGTCCTTGTAGGGAAGAAACGTGCTTTTAAAGGTTACATGTTTGCTCCCTGGGAAACTCACTGGGAAAGGATGGGGTTGTTTGTGTCCACGGATTTGAGGTGATGAGGAAGGAAGTGTGCTGTCTCCTGCTCCGCACAGGGAGCAAAAGGGACACGCGGATGCACAGAGCAGGCAGCTTGTGCCTCAGCTGCTGTCTCCCACAGGTGAGTCTCTGTTCTGATCGCCAGGAAAGATGGAAGTGACACAAAGTGCTTCAGAAATGCAAAATGAGTGCCCTGACAGTGAGTGAAAGCAGAGAAAAAGCCACCTAACTGCTCTCGTCCTGGTGCCCATGTCAATTTAACCACTGAACACAGGTTGGGAGCCCAGAAACATACATTTAGCCAACTCTGCTATCAGAAAATCAGCGTCACACCACCGTGAAGTTTTTTTTTTTTTAGCTGAGCCATCCTGCCACCTGTTGGCAGCTCAGCGGCTGCTCAGCTCGGGCCGGGACTCGAACCGCTGTTGCTCAGAGCTCACACTCTTGAGCGAGCTCTTAACCAACTGAGCCACTCAGCCGGCCCTACCACTGTGAAGTTTTAAGGACGCTGTTACCCCAGCCTTAATATCCTAAGAAGAAAAAGAAGATGAGGCTACGTTGGAACTTGCATCCAATCCACTTCTAAATGCTTGAATACTGAGCTGCCTCATAGCTGGAGTTACTGTGTAACTTGAATGAAGTCTCCAAATCTGTTGTGTCTCTCAGGCACGTTCACACCAGAACAGTGCCGTGTAGCCTTTTACAGAATTTCTGTTTCTTTCTCCCCTTCTCTTCCTTTTTATTTTCAATAATTTGGCTTTTGACCCCAGTGGCCGTCAGGCTCTGTCCTCTGCAGGTCACTTCTCCTGGGACAGGGCCCACGGGGGCAAAAAACAGGTGGGAGAGGGACCCAAAGTCTTTGTGTGTGGGGGTGCGGGCGAGGCACGTGCCCCTTTTCCCCACGAGGCTGACGTCCAAGCTCAGAGAGAGAAGCAGAAATGTCCCCCACGCCTCAGAACCTACAAACGCTGGGGTTTGCTATTTGAAGGTGACTGCGGGAACCCTTTTTTACAACAAAGCACAACTCCAGTTTTCATTTGATAAAATCCAAATTTCCATATATTAGGGCTGCTAAGTGTTCTGTACCAGGCTGAAATAACTCCAAGCCACTAATTACGTCCTCCGGGGCATGGGGACAGTTAAAAGGAAGAGGGACTATGGCAACCATCCAGAAATTATGCAGTGTGATTAAAGACGGGGGAACATACACATATTACTTAAAATGTGCATAAATTGATACATAAAATTAACTTTGCGTGTTACAGCTGGCCCCGTCTGGTTGAAGCTGAGTGTAACGAGTGATGGGCAGATTCCTCTTGGGAACGCACGCTTAGGGATTTACTTGCAAACCATTGGGTTCAACTGCACATGTGTCCCCACAGCACAGAAACTGGGTTCTCTGTAGCCTGGATATAAACGTGTTAATTGTCACTCCGCCCTCCCCCAGGGAAGAACCTCCTATTAAGTCCCCACTTAGCGCCACTCTTCCTGGTGGTGAGAGGTGGGGTCGTGACTGCGTCCTGCACTTCAGCGGGCACCCGCTCTGCCCCGTGTTAGGATGTCGTGCGGGCGTCTCTGGACCCAGCGCCAGGAGTGTGCAGAGTTGGTGTGTCACCCACGCAGCAAATGTACAGTGGAGGGATCCTGGATTGGGGGAGAATTGGGCCAAAGAAATCTCCAAACATAATGCCTGTTTCTTAAATTAACTTTTCTTAACTGGAACCAGTGTGGAAAATACCCCAGGAATCGCTGAGGAAATGAGCCGTGTCCACCTGGTAGAGCACGTCGGGGGCCTGGCTGCCAGGGGACTTTGGGGACACATGTTTTCTGGTGTCAGTACCTCAGCTTCTTCAGGGAAAGGACAGGTGGCAGCGGGGAGGACGTCGGCTTGGCCGCCTCAGGGAGGCTGACGTGCTCTGGTCTGGGGTGATGTGTTTCCTTTTCTTTGGAAACCCGGACACTGGGAGGCGTTCCGGTGGGACCCACAGGCCAGCGACTTTCTAACGGTGTCTGCGAGCACCACTCAGGTGAGCTTTTAATTCGAACAGGTGTGTGGTGTGGACGGGCGACGACCGGGTTTTCTTCTTCAACCCGACCATGCAGCTGTCCGTGTGGGAGAAGCCCGTGGACCTGCGGCACCGCGGTGACCTCAACAGGATCATCGAAGACCCGCCCCACAAGCGTAAGCTGGAGGCGGCGGCAGGTAGGTGGCCGGGCCGCGCGCACGTGCCTGAGGTTCAGGCTCTGGGTTCCGAGGGGCGCAGCAGGGACGCGTGTTCCTCCAGCTTGTGCTGGACGTTGGTTTTTATCAGGAAGTGTGTTCACTCTTTCAGAATTTAGTAATTCTGCGTTTAGGGCACGCTCTGTAGGAACAGACCCTCCCACGTGGTTGACTCTGGCCTTTTCGCTCTCTGCGGAGTTTGTAATTCGGAGAAGGCCTTTCCGTCCATCACCCACTTGGGCTCTCCTTTCCACAACGTCATTAGGCGGCGTTTCATTCTTGCCCCCAGGGCCTTGTGGACCCCGCTGGGGAGAGCCCGTGTCCTTCCAGCTCACACGCTCGTTTCGGAGCTTGGACGGAATCCACCCCTGTTCATTTGAAGGGACCCGGAGGGCAGCAGAGGGGCATGGGCGCGGGGCAGAGAGGAAGCTGTTTCTGACGTGGCCCTTCCACACTTGATCCCCAGGAGTCAGAGGAGAACACGGGGCATCTTCAGGAAGGATCCTTTCCGATTAGGCCTGGCGCATGTTTCCTTAGCCGCTGTGTTGGGAAAGCCCCTCCCTGAGCTTGTGGTCACGCTGGGGACCCTGGGGAGCAGGAGCTCTGTGCTGACCTGACCGCGGCCAGGCCATGGGTCTGGACCCCTTGAGAGAGGGCGTTGCTTTCTCTTTGTAGTGCTTTATTGGTTTTGCAATGACGTTTTCGATTCCACCTCATATAAGGCTAACAGATGACATCAGCCCCCATTTTCAGGCAAATCCAGAGGCATTTGACTGAACTTTAGGGTACAAAAAGGTTTTTTTTTTCCTTTCTTTTTTTTTTTCCATTTTAACAACACGAAGAGACATAGAAACAGTCACTGCTGTGGAACCTGTGGTAGGCCGCTCAGATTGAAATGAGAGGTTCAATGTGTTTACTTCACTTAAGATTATAAGAACATTCTCCAGAGAGCTTGAGTAGCTTGAGTCAACTGACGCTGGGGAAAGTGTCCTGGGTACATTAAGTGACTCTAAAATCTTAGCTGTGGGGGGAAGGAAAAAACAATTTTCCTCACACCTTTCCAAGCTCTGGCTGGGCTAATAATCAAGTTAACATGAGACAGATTAACAGGAGAAAATGTTCAGAATTTATTATGGACTTTCCTATGGGGGTTCTATAAGATTAGGGGGCCCAAGGACAGGTCAGGCAGTGGGGGTTTCAATGCCGTCCGGAGCTAAGGAGAAAGGGGGCTGTGGCTGGACTTTCAAAGTGCAGGAAGCCAGTTCCCACGGGGACAGCACAGCGAACCTTTGGTCCACAGCTGTGTGCTGAGCCATCTTCACAGTGGGACACGCAGGGGACTCTGACCAATGGGCCTTGCGAGGTTCCTCCCTGTCTGTGACACTTAGTTCCTTTAAACGATCGTCACCTGTGCTGACAGCGCCCTTGCCGGAGCAGGCCCTCTACCTAAGTACTTTTAGGCAGTTGGGGGGAAGGTCAGATTTCCTTCTGAGTGTTTTGTTTCTCAAAAATAACCAGAGTCAGATAATAACCAATATCCTAGAGAGCCGTGGCCGGCGGCCCGTCTGTTCTGGCTCAGCTGTTCTCGGGTACGGTGGGATCGCGCTTGTGATTGCTTTCCTCCTTTGATTGAGCACAACCCACTTTTAAAAGGGATATTTTGCTGAATGAGGGTTTGAACAACAAAAGAAGCCCCCATAGGGAGCCAGCTCCCTCCTGGACAGAGCAGGCGGTGCCACGGATGGGGATTATCATCCGACTACAGATCCCGAGAGAACCATTAGGCACGGTTCCTCCTAGCAGTGGTTTTATGTGCTTGGTAAAGAGTAGATCACGCAGCCAGGTTCCTTGCTCCTCATTTAGCTTGCATTCTTGTAGATAATTGGGTGCTGTTTTATTTATTTTTCCAAAGCATTGGTGGAAATGAGGAAGAAATTAGCTCGTTAGCGTCAGTGCATAGCTTCTCCCACATTGCTCTCATTTGTACCAAATCAGGTCAGGTCGGAGGGAAGCAGACTTATCCCTGAAGCTCCCCACCGGCTCACCTGCCATTTCAAGGCTCAGGGGGCTGCAGGTGGAGGACAGCGGTGAAAGGTAAACAGAAGCATATTATGAATCTGGAGAGCTTATCTGAGCAAAAATCAAAGCTAATTGGGCAGCACCAAACCGGAAGTGGTCAGGGGCTTTCTGCTGACCGCGGAGCTGGGGAAAGACTTGAGTAGACAAGTTCCAGAAGCGAAGAAAGGAAAGTATTGACCGGCTGGAGTTTGAAGCCTCGCTGGCTGTTTGTGATTGGTTGTCCTTACAGTTTTGATTGACGTCGTAACCTTGAGGCGGGTACAGGCTGAGTTTCCTGTGGCTCTTGGAGCTCAGCTGCGTTAGAGCTGCAGCCTAATGGCCTCGTTGTTTTAATTATAATGACAGGGACCTGAGTTAACTGGGTCAGGGATAAGACTCCACTTCACTCTACTACCACAAATCTCATTTCATACTTAGAAAAGGTAGAGAACTGAGCCTGAAGTCTCACAAGCACAACCAGAAATATCTGATTAATTTAGATTTAACGTATCAAGGTGTTTTGTCTTCTGTCAGCTTATCCTGGTGGCCCTAACTCTTCTACCTCGATGGGTATGTGATAATAACATTACATGTGTGGTTACAAAAAGTTTTAACCTTGCTTTTTCTTTTAAAAAGGGGAAGAGGTTTCCTTAAATCAGTATTTTTTAAACCTGAATCTTAAAGATATGCAAATGACCTCAATTCTTAACTTCCTGTGCAAGGTAGGACTGCCATATTAGTGCACAACTTCAGATTTCCTGAGGTCCACACAAAGTGTTTTGTTTGCAGCGAAACAATTAGGACAAGAGGTGCTTCTGGAGAGTTAATTAGCGATTAGTGGGCAGAGCTAATGACCGCCAGCCATCAGCCGGTGGCATTTTCCCCTGGCTGGTCATCCATCAGGACTCAGGAAATGATTTGACCCTAATTATTATAAGCCAATGTGAGGGGACATTGTTCTTGGTGGAGAATTTTTTTCAACATTTTGTTCAACTATTATAGATTGGAATAGAGTTTTACCTGTTTCAAGTCTGAAATGGAACAATTTAGCATTCCAGTTGATACCCATTATTTTTCAAGAGGAAGTAAAATAAATGAATTCTATAAAATAGCTGCCATATTGAACTGCTATTAGGTTTAGAGGTGTGTGTGCACGTGTGCATGTGGTGTGTGTGTGTACTGTACGTGCATGTGTGCGCATGTGGTGTTTGTGTGCACATATGTATGTGTCATGCATGTCTGCATGCATGTGTGTGCATATGTGTGTGCGTGGTGTGCCTGCACGTGTGCGTGTGCTTCCTGGGAACATCAGGCGTGGAAGTGGGAGCTAAGAGTGAGGCAGCCGCAGGGTGCAGGATCCAGAAGTGCCAGAAGTGCAGAGACGTTCGTTACTCAGCGGATAAGGGACAGTCCCTTTTTCATTCTGTTAGCGTTGCTGAGAGATTGACACGAAGGCCTGAATTATTTTGTAATTATCCTGCAGTGCATCCAGATTTGTCATGGCTCCAGCAGCCATGCTGTTAGTTGAGAATAAATGCCTGTGAGCTACAGTGGAACGGGCTGCTGCAGCCTGCACCCCAGTCCTCCCCTGTCACACGTCCCCCAGCTCTCAGGAACTCCTCAGCTTAGAGCAGCGGTTCTCAACCTGTGGGTCGCGACCCCTTCGGGGGTCGAACGACCTTTTCACAGGGGTCGCTTAAGAGCATCGGAAAACAAAAAGATATTTACATTACAGTTCATAACAGTAGCACAACTACAGTTATAGAGTAGTAACGAAAATAATTTTATGGTTGGGGGTCAACACAACATGAGGAACTGTACTAAGGGGTCGCGGCATTAGGAAGGTTGAGAACCGCTGGCTTAGAGGGTGCAGAGGCCCCTCCCTTAGGACGGGGTTGTGCCCCAAAGCGTGCCGTGGGTTGAAAATATCACCCGCCCAATGCAAGTACATCTGTTACACCGGACCTGTGAACTGCAGCTCGGCCGGGCCCTCACGCGTGCTCAGGACACGTACATGAGCCTCCACTCTGGCTGACTATCTTGAGTTTCCTCTCGAGAGTAATTGCTTCCTCTTCTGCTCACCGGAAGCAGGAGACACGGGTGTTTTGTAGATGTGATGAGATGAGAAAACACAAAACACAGCAATGGAGAAGCGCTGGCCACTCAGCACACTGTCCAGCATCAGTCTGCTCTTGGGTTCACGGCGGAGTGAGCCGCGGACGCCCCCCGCCCAGCATCGCTAGCCCCGGAAAAGACCAAAACTCAGAATTCAAAGTATGGTTCCTGCCAAATGGGTATCGCTTCTGCACCGTCAGATGTCAAAATATCCCAAGTCGGGGACGGTCTGCACTCACCCTTTTTGCCCACCAGCGTCCGCATCCCTCAAACCTGTGGGAGTCTCAGTTCGTGCACTGTATTTACCTGCTGCACCAAGGTCCTCTCTTCCGGGAGTGATGGGCAGAAACCTCCCTCGGTCTGGCAAGCACCCCCTCCCCCAGCAGCGCCGGGCACGGAACCCGGTTCCCACTCCATCTCACTTTTGCACCGTCCCTTTTTTCTGGCTGAGCCTGTTCACAGAGTGTGTGGCGGGAACTGCTGGTCCTGCTGGAAGATTTCGGGGCTGACGGGCCTGAGCCAGGTCTTGCTCAGGAGGTGTCACCGGTCCCATGGTGGTGCTGCATGGTGGGTGGGACACGGCGTGCACGAGCTGTCGATGAGAGGAGGCCCTGGGAACCACGGCACAGGGTGGGCTGGGGTGAGCTGGGCTTCCAGAACCAACCCCTCACCTTACCAACAGCCCCACTGTGTGCGGGGCAGAGAACCTGGGAATAGGTGGGGAGTGGAGCTGGGACGGAGGCATCACTGTGATTCCGCACAGCGTGCGGACACTGTCAGGTTTTATGAGGCAAGAAGGGCTCCCCAGCTGCTGAACTTGGTGTCTCGCATGAACTCACATTCCTTACGAGTGGCGTCCTCGGTGCAGAGCCTCCCCGGGAAGGACATGAGGGGGGATGTGGGGCGCTCTGCAGAGCCCAGCCCCCTGCACCTGTGCCCACACGGGGACACAACCCCGTAGAGGGCTTCTGGGGAAACACACACGATGCTGAAGGAGAACAGGATGAGGGGGCCCTTGTGATGCCGGGGGCGTGTGGGAGTCGTTCAGCCAGTCAGCACCGAAATAGCGATGCTCTGAACCACCTTTGTGCCCATTTGTTCTCTTTCTCTTTTGGAGAAAAATATGAAACACCAAAGCACCTTTTTACTCTTCTATTCCAAAGTCTCATCAAACATTTACACAGCCGACCTATTCAGGATGGAAGGAGGGGACGTCTTCAAAATCCATTAGGTTTTGTGGAGTAGCCCCGTAGTCAGCAGTGGGGGGCGTGGGGCTGGCAGGGGAGGCTGGTCATTCGCTGCGGGGGATGCAGGAGGTCTGGTGTCAGCAGGTCCAGTGTCACTCACAGGAACATGAGGCAGTGTGACCAGAAGGCTGCGTCCAGGGCCTGGTCCGGAGGTGGGAGGGGAAGGGGCGGAGGGGAGGGGACGGGGTGCCCGCCTTCGTGCCGCGGCCCCTCTGGACGGCCTGGCGACCTCTCAGTGGACAGCAGCTAGAGATGACTTTGCCGAAACGAAAGGGAGCGTCCCGAGGACAGGCAGGTTACAGGGTTTGCGATGGACTTCCAGGGAAACCTGTTTCCCTAACTTCGCGACGAGTCTGCTTGAAAGCGTGCTTCTGGTGGCTTGCCACAGCGATGGCTGCTGACACCCCAGCGTGTTAATGTGACTGTCTTGCAGACGACCACAGCGACGGGGCGAGTTCTGAGGACGCCGGGGAAGAGCCGAGTGGGAAAACCAAGAGGAACCGGTAGGTGTCCGCTCTCCTCCTGCGCCTTCCTTAGCCGACCGTCAGGTGGAGCAGAAGGAAGGGGCCCTTTTGACGATTGGCGGATTCAATGCTAAACAGGCAGATGGCGGGAGGTCTCGGGTTCCATCCTGGTGGTGACGCTGGGTGCCCAGAGCCTCAGTGGGCAGGTGTGCTGGTGGCCCAGGGCAGCGGAGGCACTAGACGGCGTCCGCCCTTCCCGGCCGCCCGTGTGCTGGGTGAGGGGTGGGTGGGGGTTCCAGCTCTGTCTCGTTCTGAGACTCTGGGCAGAGTAACCTCACGCGCACCTCAGATTCCTCATGTGCAACATGAGACCAGAAGCTCCTAACGGCAGTTCGAGGTGGCGTCCGAATGAGAGGGTGCCTGTGGCTGCCTGTGTCACTCAGGGATGGAAGCCCCACCCTGCGGAAGTTTGTGTGCCTTTTGTCGTGGTGTTTGGAGCTGACATGGGTGGGAAAGCCTTTCTCCATTTGAATCACTGCCGCCCGTCACCCCCTCCTCACAGGCCCGGCCTGCGGTCCCTTCCCTACTGGAGCTCTGCATAAAGGGGTAAAATCCAGACGGGGGACGTGAGGCGCCATGTGGCTGCTGGGCACCCATCATTGGCCCAGAGGGTGAGGGTGACTCTGAAAGACAGTCCAGGGTGGCAGCTTCTCAGGCCACTTCCTGAGCTCACGTGGCGCCCAGTGTGCCATCAGAGCCAGTGTCCTCAAGGCCCCAAAGGTGCATTTAATCCTGCTCTGGGCGTCGGTAATCAGCCCCTCACGTGGGACACCGTGGGCCTGAGACAGGCGTCTGACTGCCGCTGTCCAGAGTGTTAGCACCGTTTGTATTTTCTCTTTAAAACAAGGTTCCTTAGAAGAAGTAACACCTTTGCACTAACAAATGCGTGCGGCGATGACAGGGAAGCAGATCTTGCCTTCAAACCTGTGTCCATTCTCGTCACCTCTTCAGTCCTCACCCTGGGCCTTCCTGGCAAAGACAGTGGTGGGGGGGGCACGGGGGGGAGGGGGCAGGCCCAGGGCTGTGGTCTGGCAGGACTTCCCAAATCTCCTTAGGAAGTCACTTTTGGGTGTTTGGAAACGCGTCAGGGGACACTAGTGTGGGCCACCAGGAGGGACAGGGAGTGACTTTGATGGGGGCCAAGGGCTCCAGGGAAGGGAGTTAAGTGTCTCCTGTTATGTTTTATGTTCTGACCGTGGGTATCAGCTAAGCCAGTCTCTGTGAGTCTTGCAGATACATAAATAATTTAAAAAACAACACGCGCTTTCTGAGGCACAAGGACAATGGACATATTGGCTGATTTTGAACTTGTGTAGGAGGAAAGCTCTGTGGGACCCAAGGCAGCTGGGATGTCTGCCTGCGTCGCCCACTCCGTTCTTCTTCCCAGGGGGCTGGCCTCGAATGCTGAACAGTTGGCATTTAAATAACATCAAAACATTAATTTTGGCTTTAATCATCTGAATGGCTCCCATGACTGAACACTAACATGGGAACAAACGCAGGTTTTGCAGGAAGCCGCCCGTTTCCGCTCTGCAGGTTCTGTGTGTCAGGAACACACTCAGGCACACGGCCCCCTCCCCTTCAGGCGTCACTGTCACCTGGTGGGGGGGGGCCTCAGCGTGGGCATGAGGCTGGGTGGGCGTCTGGAATGTTCCATTGTTCATTCACGAGCCAGTTCACACAAGCGGCACCTCTTCTGTGCGGACGCTGTCCCCCTCCCCTTGCCCCCCAACCCTGCGCAGAGTTCTGAAGCCCCCTCCACAGCAGCGGTCTGGCGCTCCCAGGACCCCAGGCTGGCCGGACGTGGAATTTGTGTCTGTCTTTGGGGAGGTTATTCTCAGTAAGCACAAGTACTGTTCAAGCTCCTATCTGCTTCTGCATGGTTATTTTTTTGGTAGGCTATGGCATAAATAGTAACAAAACAGACCGCCGGAGAACCAGCTAAGTCAGTCCATTTTAACCTACGCTTTTTGTGTAAATAATTTTACCTCCTCAAAAATCCCCTGCGATGTATGGCTCACCGGCAGCCATGTTCCGCCATCTAAGAAACTAGGGCGTAGAGGGTGGTGATTGTTCGGGAGGCTGCTGTCGTCCCTGGGTCCCTCCTGCACCCGGCACCATTCAGACCCCCTGTGGACAGTGTCACACAGATGGGGCAAAATCAGCTGTGCGAAGAATCCAGGTCCAAAGGAGGAGACCTTTCCCAAAATTCCCTGGGAAGAGAAATATGTCACAACAATAAGCTTTCAAATTACTCAGATAGTTTAAGCTGCCTGGTGGTGGCGTTTCAATAGCTTGCTGTTTACTGTTGAAGGGCACGCGCTGACAGCCGCACGTGTCCTGGGACTGGACCGCTAGCTGTTTGCGTTCCCCCTTTTGGCGCAGTGAGTGCCTGGAGGGTCTGCCCGTTTCCGATGTATAGCTCTCTTCAGAGTTCAGACCTGCTTTTCAAGTGTGCTGTCTATTTTAAGAACTTGGGATTTATTTCAAATAATGGAATGACTGTAAGCACTCAGCAAAAGTGTATCATGTGGTGTAAAAACCAGAAGGAAATTAGGCACAAAACACATTGGAGAAGGAAATGCCAGTGACACGTGCAGCTTGGAGCCCCTTCCTGAGGCACCAGGGTGTGCCCGTTGGCAAGCAGGTTGCCCTGCTGAGCGCCTGGCTTTCCATGGCGTGGAAGGGGTGGCAGCCCCTCGTGTGCTGTCAGTTATCATCGGCTCCTCAGCTGCGGAAACCTGTTTACATTTCCGTGCCATTCAGCACAGGGTTCTCGTACTGGGGGTGACCAGAGGTCCCGTGGCCTGCGACACTGTTTATTGTGCTTGTTTGTCCTCTGGGGACGCCCCACGGATGGCTCTGATGTAAGTGGCACAGCTGACTGTGCACCGTAAAAGCTTAATGCCAAGCAGGGCGCTTTCCTGTGGTCAGGTACGAGAAGAGCGTGGACTCAGCTCGGAGTCCCCGGGGGTCCCTGTCCTGCGTTCCCCACCTGTCCTTGTTATTCTCCCCCTGGGTAACCCAGATGGCCCAGGCTCGTCCGAAGCAAGTCCTCTGTACAGTGCTGGCTCTTTCAGAACCTTTGGCCCCTCCGCAGTTTGGAACCCACAGGGCCCCCCAGCTCCTGTGGCCGTCCCCCCTCCTCCCAGGAGCAGCCCCAGCGCGGTGGCTGTACTCAACCCAGACGTCTGCTCGCGGTCAGGCCACTGGGCAGGCTGGGCTCAGGCTTTGGGACGTGCCTGTGCCACCTCTCTGTTGCCCCGGGCAGTCACCAGTACCCCGATGGCCCATTGGAGCCTGTGGCCTGGCTGTGCCCACTCACAATGTGAGTTCTGGGCAAGTGTCACCCCTCAGATGCTGTCTGTGGGCTGTCTGTCCTGTTATTCCAATAGCTCATTGGCTTTTGTGTGAGGGTTTGGGGACATTGAAAGCCACCCTCTGTCTTGCTTTATTTGGGGTCATGAGGTTTGTTTGTGGTTAAACCTTGGACTGTCTAGGAGTCCTGTGTGCGAAGATGTCTGTGATGGGGCTGATATGTCTCCTCCATGGTCTCCAAAGCCGCACCTGGAGGCGACAAGTAGAGGAAGGACTGTGTCCTTGTCCTTGTTCTTGTGATGTAAGTGATTAAACAGCCTGCCAGCTGTACCCCAAATCCTCCAGCCCGAGGGCACCCCAGGCTGGCTCCTCCAGCCTGTGCATGCTCAGAGCTGAGCACGTGGTGACCCCGAGAATACAGAGAGAAAACACCCATGAAAGAACCAGAGCAGCACAGGGCCTGGTGTCCTCGTGCTGCCCTTGGGTGATGACAGGTGCTGGCACTCCGAGAGCACCTGCGTGAGTTCCCGGAAGAGCACACTACCCAGGTGACAGGTATGGAAATAATATCCCGCTGAGGTGTTGGAGAACCTCCCAACTGCTGGGGGATTCTTTCACATTCAGCCAAGACAAGCGTAAGACAGGGCTGAGGAAGCGCCTGGCAGGCCGTGTGGAGAGCCAGCGCTTGGATCGGGGCCAGCCTTTCAGCAGCAAACTCCTCTGTTTCCGGGGACTCAGCTAGTCTGAGCCCAGTGCTCACCGGGTTCCATGCCAGCCCAGAAGGAGGCCTTCTGCCACAGGCAGCAAAACACCTTTCAACAGGCGCATCACCACTGAAGGAGTCATGCCTCCCGAGACCCAGGGCTAGGCTGAGCTGACAAGTAAGTGAGCAGCTGCCCCACTGTTAGTCTCTCCAAAGGCCCTGGCTCCCGAGTCCACGGCCTGCACTCCCCGTTCTGTCCCCTCGCTTTGCACGGTCCCTGGCTCATGCTTAGCATGTCATAACCATGTGGACAGAAGGGGTGGGTGGATGTGGTCACACTGAGGACCTGGAAGGAGCCATCTTTCCATGGAGGGGTCTTCCTGGCCTCAGCAGAGCTGGGAGTGGCTTTGGTGACTCCGAGAGCCCCTCCCTGGCACATGTCATTAGGGCCAGGACCATCCACATCAGGGGCCCGAGGGTGGGGTCAGAGGGTGAGGAGAGCAGAGCAGACACAGGGATGGGGAGGTTCGCCAGGCAGTCGGTGGTCAGTCGGCAGGACAGGGAGCAGTGAGGCTGTGTGGTTGGTCACAGGTACCCTGGTCCCGGGAGCCCAGGACCTACCTGGAGCCCAAGTCCTGATTGTCCAGGCTGGTGTTGTGTCCCCGCCCATCCTAGAGCCCCCGCCCCTGCACACTGGGCAGCACTGCTGCTGCATGGGCGAGGGGGAGCTCGTCCCCTAAGCTCACAAGGCCCCTGTCCCATTCCTGCTCAGGGCCAGTGATGGCCCCATAGCCAGGGTCTCACCATGGCTGAGACTCCACCCCGGGGAGGCACCCTCCTTGATGCCACCACTGGCTTGAATTCTGGCCATCTACATGGGAAGGGACGTGCTGGCAGGATCGATGCCCCACCAAGGGACCTGGAGCCCCCTGATCAATGCGCTGATTTCCTGGCAGCA